GAAAAAATCAATGGGTAGATTTAGCCAACTAGTCAGGAGACAAAGAATGAAATCATGATATAGCCACTATAAAGTTAAAAGGTTCAAAAAAGAAGAAAAGTAGAGCAGTTCCTATTATACTTTTGTTTCATGATTGTTAAGGGGGGAATTCTGGCTAAAGGTTTGGGATAAAATTTTGTACTGAGTTATTTTCTCTTGATAGAGGGAATGTTTTGAACTTCACACTTCAAATTCAGAAAGCCACTTCTAGATTTAGGAAAAGATCCTTCTACTCAACCCAATTAAATGATGGTTATATACTTAGCAGTGCTATACAAGTGTAAGTAAAAAGGTATTGTTACTAGGGTTCCAATTCATGCATATATGGGCTTATTTTGAACAATATGTGCTTAAACAAGTCTCTGCAGTCAGTGGATAGCTTCAGACAAGTTCCCTCAGTAAAATACTTATCTTGGTCTTGTTAGGGTACCTTCAAAATAAGGCCCAATCAAAATAATGACTTCCAAGGGAATCTGCTGCATCAGCTAAATTCTAGGCAGAGAGGTCAGCTCAGAATGGCAACAGATTTAAGGGATGCCAAAAAGATAATCATGATAGATTTTCTTGAAGGACACAGGACAATTATGGAAGGTTATTATGAAGAAGTTTTTTTAAAAAAATTGAAAACTGCATTGGTGAGAAAAGACCAGGAAACTTGTGCCAAGGAATTTCTTTCCATCATGACAATGTACCTGTACTGTCCTATGAGAATTTTGTTGGGAAACCTTATCCTCTCCACCATACAGCAATGATATTGCCCCTTCATACTCTTTTTGTTCCCTCAAGTCAACGAATATTTCAAAGGAACAAGATTTTCAGAGTCTCTGAGGCTGCCAAATCTGCTGTTTTGTTATATTGTAAATTGAGAAGTGCAGAATTCTCATGAAAAGAGTTAGAGAGATGGAAACACTGTCTTCTGATATTTCTACAGCTAGAAGGAGGATCCACCACTCGTCTGTTAGTTTGTTGTACTGTGGTGGCTTGCATGTTGCTGTGATTCTGGAAACTATGCCACAGGTATTTTAAATACCAGCAGGGTTGCCCATGGTAAACAGTTTTCAGCTGAGCTTCCAGACAAAGACATACTAAGAAGGAGAGAAGGACTATTTCTGAATATTGAGTTACTAAAAATGTTATGGGAGTCTTGGTGTGGTGTTGTAGGTTGATGCGCTAGACTGCACAGTTGGTTTGAACTTCAAGGTCCATCATTCAAGCTCACCAGCCACTCCTTGGAAACTTTCTATATACAGGATCATTATGGGTTGGAACCAACTTGACAGAACTTAACAACAACTAAAACATTATGAATAATAGTAGACTATTGTCAGCACCAGGATATTGAATATTGAAATATGATGAAAAGCACGAGAATAATTTCAGATATAGTAACTGAAGATGAGCCTCTAAGGTTGAAAGGTACTAAAAATATGACTGTGAAAGAGTTGCCTCCTCAAAGTAGAGTTGACCATGAGTAAAGTAAACTCTACTCCTCAAAGTAGAGTTGAAGGAGTAAAGCCTTTGGGACCTTCATTTGCTGATGGGGCACAACTCAAAATGAGAAGAAATGGCTGTAAACATCCATGAACAATCAGAACATGGAAGGTACAAAGTATGAATATAGGAAAATTGTCAAATGTGAAATGGAATGCATAAACATCCATATCCTATTTCAGCATTAATGAACTGAAATGGACTAGCATTGGCCATTTGAATCTGACAATTACATGGTTTTCTACATTAGGAATGACAAATTGAGGAGGACTAGCAATGCATTCATCATCAGAAAGAACATATCAAGATCCATCTTAAAGTATAATGAGGTCTATTGATAGGATAAATCCATATGCCTACAAGGAAGACAAGTTATTACCATTATTATTCAAATTTATGCACCAACCTCGAATGCCAGTCATGATGAAATTGAAAAATTCTATAGATTTCTTCAGTCTGAAATTGATCAAACATGCAATCAATATTTCATAATTACTGTTGATTGGAATGCAAAGTTGGAAACAATGAGGAAGGATCAGTAGTTGAAAAATATGGTCTTGGTGATAGAAATGATTCTGGAGATCCTTTGACAGAATTCTTCAAGACTAATGAGTTATTTGCTGCAAATACCTTTTTAAACAACATAAAACATGACTATATACATGGACTTCACCACATGGAATACACAAGAATCAAATTGGCTCCATCTGTAGAGAGAGATGGTGGAAAAGCTCCATATCAACATCTAAAGCCAGGCCAGGGGCAGGCTGTGAACAAACCATCAATCACTCCTATGCAAGTTCAGACTGAAGCTGAAGAAAATTAATACAAGTCCATAGAGCCAAAATAGAATCTTGAACATATTCTGCCTGAATTTAGAGATCATTTGAAGAACAAATTTGATGTATAAGACATTAAAGACCGAAGAAAAGAGGAGTTGTGGGATGAAATCAAGAACATCATACAGGAAGAAAGCAAAAGGTTATTAAGAAGACAAGAAAGAAAGAAAATACCTAAATGGATGTCAGAAGAGACTCCAAATATTGTTCTTCAGTGTAGAGATGCTAAAGCAAATGAAAGAAAGGAGGAAGTAAAGGCATTGAATAGAAAATATCACAGAACAACTTGAGAAGACAAGGTCAAATAGTATAGTGAAATGTTCAAAGACCTAGAGTGAAAAAAACACTCAGTATTCCTATAGCTGAGGGAACTGAAGAAAAATTTCAAGCCACAATATTAAATATTGAAGGATGCTGTGGACAAAATGTTGAGTTATGAAAAAAAAAACATCAAAACATCAAAAGAAGAAATATAGAGAGTTGCTGTACCTGAAAGAGATGGTTGATGTTCAACCATTTGAAGAGGTAGTATATAATCAAGAGCCAATGATCTGAATGAAGAAGTCCAAGGTGCATTGAAGGTACTGGCAAAGAACAAGGTGCTGGAAACTGATGAAATACAAATTGAAATCTTTCAAAGGACTGATGTAGCACTTCAGGTACTCGTCTATGCCAGGAAATTTGGAAGACAGTTACCTGGTCAACTGACTGGAAAAGATCCATATTTGAGCCCAATCCAAAGACAAGCAACCTAATGGAATGAGGTAATTATCAGACAATATCATTAATATCTCAAGCAAGCAAAATTTTGTTAAAGATAGTTCAAAAATGGTTGCAACCATATGTTGATAGAGAACTTCCAGAGGCTCAAGCCAGATTCAGAAGAAGACATGGAATATCATTGCTGATGTCAGATGGATCTTGGCTGAAAGCAGAGAATACCAGAATGATGTGTAGCTCTGCTTTATTGAATATGCACAGGCTTTTGATTGTGTGGATCATGAACAGCATTGCAGAGAATGAATATTCTGGAACACTTCATTGTGCTTATGAGGAACCAGTACATAGGTTAAGAGGCAGTTGTTTGAACAGAACAAGGTAACTCTGAATGGCTTAAAATTAAGAAAGATGTGCCAGGGTTTTGTTCCTTCATCATACTTATTCAATCTGTATGCTGAGCAAATAATTTGAGAAGCTGTATTATATGATAAAAACATGGCATCAGGTTTGGAGGAACACTCATTAACAGCCTGCAATATGCAGATGATACAACCTTATTTACTGAAAGTGAAGAGGACTTTAAGTAGTTACTGATGAAGACCAAAGACCACAGTCTTCATTATGCATTGCCTCTCAATGTAAAGAAAAACAAAAGTCTTATCACTAACCAGTAAATAGCATCAAGAAAAATGGAGAAAAGATTGAAGTATTCAAAGACTTCATTTTGCTCAAATCAACCATCAATACTCATCAGCAGCTGTCAAGAAATCAAACAATGTATTTCATTAGGCAAATCTGCTGCACAAGACCTCTTTAAAGTGTTGATGAGTAAAGATGTCAGTTTGAAGACTAAGGTATGCCTGACCCAAGACATTGCATTTTCAATAACCTCATATATATACAAAAAAGTTGGACAGTGAATTAGAAAGACTAGAAAAATTGATGCATTTGAGCTGTGATGTTGGAGGAGAATATTAAAAGTACCATGGACTACCAAAGGAACAGACCAGTCTGTGTTGGAAGAAGTGCAGCCAGAATGCTCTCTGGAAGCCAGGATTGGCAGACTCGTCTCTCATACTTTGGACATATTGTCAGCAAGGACCAGTGCCTGGAGAAGAATATCATGTTTGGCAAACTGGAGGGTTGGAGAAAATGTGGAATACCCTCAAGGAGATGGATTGGCACAGTGGCAGCCACGATGGGCTCAAATGTAGCAATGATTATGAGGTTGGCGCAGAACCAGGCAATGTTTCATTCTGTTGTGCATAAGGTCACTATGAGTCGGTACTGACTCGATGGCACCTATAACAACAACAAGAAGATGGAGGATATGTTAAGAAATATAAGCTTAATATTTTGGTATATGTATATATTTTTAAATTAGGGTTTCTATGATTTTGTAGTAATACTTTTTGACTTACCCTCATATGAAAAATGTTATCTTTCAAGAAAACAACTGGTCTAGTTCTGGAAATTCTGATGTTCAGACTAGAGGAAACACATGCCATTTGATTTTCTTGAGATGAAAGATAACTGAAACCTCTCTTTAGATGTTGTAAATTAACTAATGATGGTATTGATCTCCTTAACTTTTTTTTTTAATACTAAGTACTTTCCACACATAATCTCATTTTGTTTTCATAACAACCTTGAGAGATATGTTTTCATTTCTAGCTTAAAGTAGCCTGTCCAATATCAGAAAGCCAGTAAGCAAAAAACAACAAAGATTTAAGCTCCAATGTTTTGACTTAGATACCCAAAACTCCTAACCTCTTTCTTTTTTTAAAAGTCAGGCTATGGTGAACTAGGATCATGTTGCCACTTGGAGATTGGCAGAGGAGTTAGCCTGTGGGTGTCTCAGGAAGTAGGGCTATGCTGTACCTATAGGGACTTACACTATCAGCTCTATCATTAAGCCCTTTCTCTTTTGAACTGTGCTGTCTTCATATTGGAGGATCTGAAACAAAGGAGGAAAGGAAAGACTTAGTCATAATTCTATTATCAAGAAAAACTGTGTTTGTTTAAAATCTGGATATGGTATAAAGAGTCATTGAAGGTCTGACCCAAATTCTTGACACAAAGCTACCCAGTGACAAAATAAAACCATTATAATATTCCAAGTGTATATTTTTGACTGATAACTCAACTGAATTTGGATGAATTTGGGACTGAGCTTAGTTCTTCTGCATGAGTGGATGCTTAAATCCTCGTACTTTTAATTGATCAATGCATTAAAGCTACTGTGTACTACCTATGTCAATATAACCTGGATTTTTAAAGCATGAAAGTTTAAAGATGAAAGTTCATCTTGGACCATATCCACTGGAAATACAATAGGATCTCACATAAGTCCACACCACATCATAGATTCCTAAGACAGATTGAAACCTTAGGGCATATCAGACTGCAATTAATCTTAATAGTATTATTGTAAGCCACTCTTTGAAGGGAGATAAGTGACTGAGTTGGGACCAAAATATTTTCTAAAGATATCACATATAAATTAAGAAAAAGAAATATAATATTAATAAATTATCTCTGTGACTAGGAATGTGTTTTTATGAAGTATGTTGAAATGTCCAGTTAAACCTCCACTGATTACAGGAGATAGAATTTCAAACTCAAAACATATACTCAACATTAGTTCACCATTACAGCAACTTTGCTGCCAATTTTCAGCATTATGTAAGAGCAGTTTGAGAATTTAATATCACAGAACATGAAATTCTACTTCGAGACTACAATCATAGGGGAGACAACTGAAGTAATGAGATTTATACAGTAAAAACGGTGATGAGAATTTTTATTTTGACAATTTTTCATTGAACATCAGGACTTGAAGAGTCTAATATTATATCAGCTTCTGGATTTAGTTGCTGTCATGGGGAAATGGCAGTGTGAGAACAGGAGGCGGTGAGAATGATGTCTTTTAATGAAACTGGATGTGGAGGAAAGGATATAATCATAGAACAGGAAAAGTCCCTAGAGATGACCTAACCCTGTGTGTGACAGATTCAAACTGAGCGGGGGTGGTAGTCACATGCTGCCATTCTTGTTTTTATCCTTCTAATTCCCAACAGAGCAATGAGATAGGTGCTGGAAATTAGCTGGAGGTAAATAGATGGGAATATTACTTGGAGGATCATGGTAAAAGAGAGTGACCTCCAACAAGATGGATTTATACATGGGCTCAAACATTACAATCATGAGGATGGCAAAACAGGGCAGTGTTTTGTTCTGTTGTGCAAAGGGTCTCTATGAGTCGGAATCAACTCAATAGTACCTAACAATAGCAAAAACATTACTTGGTGAATATGCCAAGGTTGTTTAGATTTCATTATTATTGTTAGGAATGCTTCCTAGTAGTGACAAAGGCATAAAAAGAGTTACTTTTGCCATATCTTTGAGTCCTTTCCGCCACTGGATTAGACTGAATCAACTTACCATTTGTCTTCACTTAATGGTGTCAGTGTAGCCCAAAGCAGTGAAAATAAAACCAGAGAATAAACAATTTATAACACTGTCACATGGAACTTGATAAGAATCTATCTTTAGAAATTTTAAAAAGGCATAGTATCTTTTAAACATTGTGAGAGAAAAGGCATGAATTTGAAAGTCTAAGATGCAACATCTTTGTAAAGTCAAAGGCATAAAAATAGCTTAGTTTTGCAACCTGTTGACCATGGGAGTTGTTGTTATTAAGTGCCATAGTGTTGGTTCCAATTCATAGCGACATTGTATAGGGTTTCTGAGAATTAACTGGTAAGTTTGAACCGCTGACCTTCACTTAACTTAATGGACTACTTTGTGACTCAAAGTAGTGAAAATACAACCGGTCAATAAACAATTTATAAGATCGTCACAGAGAACTTGTTAGGAATCTATATTTAGAAATTCTAAAAAGATATAGTATCTATTAAACATATTGGGAGAAAATGCATAGGATTTGAAAATCTAAAATGAATCATCTTTATAAAGTCACATTACAAGAATTGCATACAATTAATATAGCAATAAGAAATTAACAGACGGAAAAGACTATTAAAGAGGATAAATAGAGCCAGTTCAGATAGAGGTGAAAAGATGGCGGGTCAGGTGGAAGTGCATTAACAAGCTCTGCCGGCAACAACACAGAATACAGGACCAAGAAGGCTCAGGGGATGGTCCCAGAACTCTGAACCACATATAAAGGAATATTTAGAAGGTTGGAAGACTTACAGCTGGGAAAGTTTGTGGCAGAAGCAAAAAATCCATTGCTTCCTGGTTCGGGACGCTCAGCTGCTCCAGGAGCCACCATCTTGTGTGGGGCCAAGCGGGGAAAGGATCAGAGCAGCCACGGATGCCTGACAGAGCCCCAGAGATAGAGGTGTGGACATTCTTTTTTTTTGGTATCTCTTCATTGGTCCCTTGCTGTCTGTGTACCTCCATTCTGGTGACTATAGGGGTGCCTGAGCTAGTGAACACCCCAGCCCCACCCTCGGAGGGTTCTACTACGCATGTGCACAATCTCCTCGAAATTCAAAGAGACAGTTTCCACTTAAAACCAAATGGTTGACAGATACTCAGACCAAGGGCAGGCCTTGAACCTTTCTTGTTTGCTTTTTGT